TGTGAAATTATAATTGAAATAAATTAGTCAAGATATCTGTAAAACTTCTTCCTGTTCCAAGTCTGGCTTTCCTGAATCATTTTTATCTCAGAGTCATGGATACCTGTTACTTTCCACATAATGTCTGGCTTTGTGTCATCTTTGAAGAGACAAATGTTGTATTTTGAAATGCAAGTGCAAAAATCAATGAAATATGCCAAAAATTTTCTTTAATTCTTCCATCTTGGCGATGCTTAGTTTCTGGAAGATTGTTCCCTTCTTCCTTTTTCCCCTCATCTGATTATTCTCAAAGACCCTTTCAAGTCAGATTTCCAGTTCAAAGATGGTTCATTGTGTTAGATTTTTATAGCTGGTATAGTAAATTACCCCCAATTTAAAGACTTAAAATAACACAAACTTATTATCCTATATTCTTCTTTTCTTTTTCTTTTTTTTTGACAGTATTGGGGAATGAACTTGGCAATCTACCACTAAGCTATACCCCCACATTTTTATATTTTATTTTGGTCAAGCATTTTGCTTAGTTGCTCAGGTTGGCCTCAAACTTGTGATCCTCCTGTCTCATCCTTCCTAGTTACTGGGATTGTAGGCATGTGACACTCCTCCCATCTATCCTGTACTCTTTTAGTTCAAGTCCAGAATGAGTCTTACTGTGTCACAGTCAAGGCTTGGCAAGGCTGCTTGCCTTTTGGAGTCTTCAGGGGAGAAACCACTTCCCTTGTCCTTTCCAGCCTTGTGAGGCCACACATATACCTTGGCTGGTGGCTATTCCTCCACTTTCAAAGACAGTAGTATCACACCAAGTCCTTCTCTTGCTATCAACTCTCTAGCTCTGTTCCTTCAGCTTTTCCCTTCCACTTATAAGCTCCTGGTGATTGCATTGGGTGCACGTGGAGAAGCCAGGATAATCCTCATCCCACAGTCAGCTGGCTAGCAACCTCAGTCTCCTTTTGCCATGTAGCCTAACATATTTACAGGTTCCAGGGATTAGGATGTGGACATCTTTCTGGGATGGTTATTCTACCGATCATATCCATGTTCCCTGTTTATTTCAATGACAAAACTTTTCCAGATGATGCCAGAAAAGGAGGCGAACATCCAGGAGTACCTTTAACCTGTAGCCAATGAGAAACCACACATGAAAGTGACACAGTCTCTCTTACATTTGAATATTAACAGATCCGGCCTCTCTTTGGAGAAATTCTAGTTACATATAGAATTGTAGAACATCAAAGACTTAGAAAAGTGGATTGCTCACACAGAATGTCCCAGTTACATATTCTCTCTTTCTCTCCCTTCAGTTAGAACTCTGACGTCTTCTCTGTTCGGTATTTCATTCTTTAATCTGCCTCTCCATAGGACAGAGAAATGTTAAAGTTGGCCCATGACTACCCTTGACAAGAGTTAAATGCCTACTAAAGGTCTTCAATGGCACCTAGGTACCTACCTAACACTGCAGGTGTCAGGAACAATACATCTAGGAAGATAACCATCTTATTAGTAGGTAGCAGGTTTTTCAATGAAGAAGGTGGCCAATCCTCATATTCCTTGTGAAAGTGTTGGTTTGAGGTTATTATCTATACTTCATAATGAATTTGACTAGGAATTAAGCTCTTCTGTCTTTTTTTTAAAGTCGTTGTAGGCTTAGAGTTGATTTAAAGTGAATTTCATTAGGTCCCATTAATGTCCTTCAAACCTTGGATTAAATGATTTTTAAAAGTTGGGAAATAATTGGATAAAGAAGTCAGCACAGAGAATTTTAAATGAGTGTGGGTTTGTATGCATGTTAGAAGCAAAATCTTGAAATAATGATTCTCTTAATCCCTTTCCCCCCCCCCCAATTTTTTTTTGTTTGTTTGCCTAATTAACAAATATGTCCACTTTGCTAGAATTGGTTTCAAGGAACTAGTGGAGAAATAGCACTGTTGAACTATTTATATAAAATTTATCCTATGGGTAAGATTTGATTTCATGGTGTCATTCAATATTTTCTATACAGTACTCTTTGTGTGTGTGTGTGTGTGTGTGCATGCTCATGCATGTCTGTGAGTGTGTGTGTCTGTGCACCTGTGTGGGTACATGAAGGAAGCCCATTTAAGGTGGACACTCAAATACTGGGCAGAGTAGGTGTTGCTCAGAAGTTGTGTAGACAGATATGTGGGTCACAGACCCATACCTGGTGCCAGAGGGGATGCAGGTCAATAGGGGCTGACCCAGGTGGACCAAAGGGAGGTGCCAGAAGGGTGGCATGGGCAGGCAAACCCACCGGGAAACCTTGAGCTAGGTGGTGGTGCTTAGGCTAGAGCTTGACCCCGGAAGCAGTGTTGTGGCCTGATTGGGGTTTTGAAGAACCTAAGGGCTGGCACCTTTAGGGGGGGCCTTTTAGACCTGCCACTGAATTGCCATCTTACCTATCATTTGGACTCTGGCAGCCCATGGAGGCAGGCATGGAGATGGTCATTCTCCTCCAGGTGATAAGGATAGTTCATCAGGGCCAACATGGAATCAACAGCAGCACATTCTTCTTCAAAGTCATCCTCCACACCTTCCATATACGCTTCCACTCTCAGGCCCATTTGAGACCCAGCACCTGCTGGCTCAGGTGCTGCTGGGGCCTTGAGGTGATAGAACACAATGACCACCCTGCCAAATGCCAACACCATGAAGGTGGAAGCAGTAGATGGAACAGGGCTGCTGAGACCTAACATGGAGTTCATTATATCTTCATGAAATGGAAAGAATTGTGGAGTGTAGCCAAAATGTAAATAAATATGTATAAATATAAATAATTTAAAATCATAAAAATTTAAAAGCTGCCAATATAATTGCTCCCCCCCCTCAACAAAATAGCTTAAATCTAAAGGAGAAGTTTCCAGATTCAGATGAGGATTCCTTCAGGACAAGTTTGCTCATGGCAGTTAGCAGTCTTAATTTTTCTCAAACTAATAATACTATTAGAATCCAGACCTCCTACTTTCCCATTATGGCCAGCTGGCTCAGTCTGTCAGATGCTGCCTCCTAAAAGTGAAGACCCCACATTTCTAATCTGCTACATTGTATTTTGAAATTCTGAAATCTGATGGACTCCTCAGTGTTTTGGTTTTCTGAATGTGAAGCCCAAAAGTATTATGAGAATAATTATTCTTGGTTATAGAATATTTAACCAAGAATGATATAGAGCCAAGAATTTTCCAGATAGGGCCTAATTTATAGTTTTACCAAAGAGACAAATTAATTCATCAATCATCAGAATGACAGTGGATTTTTCAGTGTTGCTTAGAACATATGTGAGGTTTTTTAAATCTTTGGAATGTACAGCATGACACCTTTCCCAAGTGAGCTTTCTTTTCACAAGACAAGGTACCAGTCCAAATGATTTTGCTGCAAACTATGTAAGTATATAAGTAGAAACGTAAGTCTCAGTATAAAATAATACCAGTATAAAGTAATACTAGTGAGCAAGATCTTAATTTGGGAGCCTCAGTAAAACAAACAAATTTAAAAAACATATCTTTTTTAAATGTATTGTTGAAGGGCATTAAAAGATTTTCTGTCAAAATTTTGGTTGCTTTACTTGTCTGTTTGAAGGAAAATCACAAAATTATTTTTTATACTGATAACATATGATTAATGAAAGAATATTTTAATTGAATTACCAGTGTAGTAAAGTAAAAGTTGTAACATTGTGTTTTTGTTTATTTATTTTGCAGTATGGCATGCAGCTGTACCAGAATTATATGCCTCCATATCAAAGCAGAAGTGGCTGCAGTTCTCAGAGTATATCACCCATGGTAAGGATCGATTTTTTGAACCTATATTTTATTTTATATTTATATTATGTTAATTTGCTATTACATTACAAATATATACTACAATATAATTACCATTTCCTTTTGGTCAAGTAAAGTTATACTTTGTATGTATGATGTTATACTGAATTTTTTATACTTGGATAGCATATGTGTACGGTCTGTGATAAAAGTCATAGGACATATATGAAATATTCAATTATAATACATAATGTTATATGTTAGTAAAACATTTTAAATATTTGAAGGAATGTATATTCTATGTCATAACATCATTTGAGGATTAGATTCTTAATAAGATAATTTGTAGAACATTTTCCTTGGCATTGTGTGTTTTTTAATTAATTTTCTTTGATTGTGGGTTTGCTTATTTATTTTAATACTGATTCTGAGATTGTTGTACCTTATTATAGAGATGCCAATGATTTCAAATTTTAAAAACTGTAATATATGCATGTGTATGTTTTTACTTTCTGGCTTTCTAACAGTAATTTTTATTTTTAAGTTCCAGGTCCTTAAAAAGCAGACTGCTTTCCAGGAAATGCAAAAACTACAAGTCAAAATATAGGTCATGCATTACATTAACTATGCAGTGCTTCTCAGAGTTTTCCCAAATGTAACTTGGATATTTATTTGCAGACACACACAGGCACATCTTTTACCTTCTTTAGCACTTAATTTTAATTTCCTGTGCATTAACACAGAAATTTATTTCTGAACTTAAAGTTTATGTTCTGCAATTCTTGCTGCACTCCTTAATATTGAGTATATTAGAAATTCAGATGTATGTGCCTGTGTTACAGATCAGTTAATGCACATTTCTGAAAACTGTGTTTCCACTTAGGCTAAAAATGTGTTCTTCCTGACTGTGACCAAGGAAGGTACATTTACCCACATGTAATGTGCCAGATGAAATGCTCAGTTCCAGGAATGTGGCATGAAATAATGTTGATTATGAAGCCCAATAGATGATATAGAAAAAGAACCCCTATTTTGTAGTTATGTTGCTTTAAATTATGGAAGAATAACTTTTCATCTTTGTATCATATTACTTTTAAGCCATAAAATAAGAAACTAATGAATGCAATGAATTTTTATAATAGAAATCACTTTAAGGTGAATATTTTCTACAGTTTGTCAGCTTACTCTTATCTTTCAATCCATCTGTATATAAAAAAATAATGAATTTTATTATCTTAATTCTTTCCTAAATTCCTCCAAATTTTCTTTTAGAATCTAGAGTTATTAGCATGGACGTGTTAATAGCAGCCAAATGTTTGGAAGCAATTATTATTTAGTGTCCTTTTAATCATAGGAAAAATGTTAAAAATAAAGTCCTTTCCATTTTCATTACTTTTTTTAGCATACAAGTGTGATATTATTCTTACTTTTTCCCACTGAAAGTCATTCTGCTGTTGATCATGGCATATCTGAGTTTGCTTAGCCCGTCTTTGCTTATTCAACTCCATCTGTAAAAAGAACTGCTCCTTGAGTGAATCTGACTGGAATCAGGTGTGATAGGGGCAAGAGGTCCCAATGCCTCAAGGTAAGGGCTTGTTCTACACAGGAATTGTGATCATAGAAGGTAGCACCTGAGAACTGTATCTATGCTATTCTTAATGTCTGTGAAGGAGATGTAGATGTTTGGGGAGGTATTTGTGTTTACTTTTGTGTGTATGGAGAGATCCACTTTTCTAGATGATTACAGAGGGATCAGTGATCTGAATGGTGCTAGTGCCCCTCACCTGTCTCTGCTGCTTTCTACTCAGGAACTATTTTCAGTGAGTTACATAGAAAAGTGAGAATAATTTAGTTACCTTTCTCAAGTAACAGTATTCTCTTTTAAACTTGTCCATATTTTGAGAAGAGAAACAAAACAATAGTTCTCATACCAAAGGGAGCACCTAGCCATAATACCATGTGACAGCCACTCATATCAACTTTTGAAATGAGGATTGTCAGCAGATATTTTAGGAAGCCAGATAGATTTGGTTCATTTTAGGGTAAAGGAGGAATTCATTTAAAGGAGTGTCTGTTAATATGTTCCTGGCTGGAATGAGGAGATCGGGAGAAAATGTCTGCTTGGTTCTTTTTAGTCTTTATTTTTGACCCTGGGCTAGACATGCTAAGCTGCAGTTTCTTTCCTTTACCTCCCACTATGTGGCACTTGAAATAACCCTAGATGGGACATATTGGTTGCTATTTTTACCATAAGGTGTGTGATCTTGGTTGGATCTCTGGTGTCCTGCAATGTAAAAGAAGGGGGTAATTGCATAATCTCCTGACTCTTACATCTGTGGTGTCCTTTGGCTCTGTATGAAGCAGATGAGAGAATGATATCTGGAGGAATTCTTTCCCCTCTTGTTCAGTCATTCTGAGCTGCAGGTTTATCAAGATCCTTCAAACGGAGTGACAGAGAAAGCATGGCTAGTTGCCATGTAGTTATATTGCCTAAAAACATTTTACATGTAAATCTCACTAAAAGTGGATACAAGCAGTCTCAGAGTCTGGCCTGGGTAATCCAGGGTACACCCAGGCTTCCCTTCTTAGAAAGAAAGGCTATGCAATTAAAATCATGGCTCATTTTGCTAGGGCCTACCCTGTTCATCCCCTAAGAAGAGCTAGAAAAAGGAACAAATATTTGAGAAATACAGCCAGTTCTGAATGTTACCATCATTGCTTTCCTATGTGAAAGAAATTGAGCTGAAAATGACATTTTGGATTTGTCAGACTTTGCTTTACTTCCATTTCTTTGTCCACCAAAGGTAAACTATTAATTTTTCATCCACCACCTGCCATTTAGTAGACAACATTTACTACACTCCTATTTCCTCTTAGTGTAGTTATTGTAGCAAATGGAATACTTCTTTAATTGTCTTGTATTCTCTGTTTGTCAAATAATTATGGAACATGGGATCTTATTGAATATCTGGTCCCCTGTATTGGGTAGGGAGAGAACAAAAGCTTGTTTATTTTTTTCCTCACAGTATTTTTATGTTATCAGGAACTTCTCTTTATAGAACCCATCTTGGCATGTGAAGTTAAAGATGTTATAAGGATAAATCTATCATTAGGATCCAGGTTAGTTACTCTGATTTGGGCAGGTGGACACTTTCCATTAATGTTGGGAAAGCAAAAGTATATCCAACTGGTCCACAGCCCAGCACGGAAGATCATGGGGTGAGAAGGGCAAACTAAGGTGTGACAGCAAATAGAGATTACTGAGACAGCATCTGTTTGGAAAGAGCAGCTGTCAGTTATAAAGGCTCCTGTAACAAATGGAAGATTGCATGCCAGATCTCTAGAAATATAGATGGACCATAATAAGATTGTCAGCCATTATCACATGGTTTGAAGAGAAAATAACAGATGGTAATAAAATGAGATGTGTGAGGCAGTGATAAAGAAACCTAATTTTTTTTCTTGAGGATAAGGTTTTGTTTGAAGCCCACATTTGACTATAGTATCTTTTCCAAAGGTAGAGAGAGAGAGAGAGAGAGAGAGAGTGTGTGTGTGTGTGTGTGTGTGTGTGTGTATGAAAGCCACAAGTCTCCAGATGCAGGTTGGCTCATAATTTACAGTGTAATTTCACTTTGGGATTTGTTCTTTTAGTAATGATTGAAGAATAAGTGATACACACTTCCATTTAGATTTTTTTATTTTGCTTAGTTTTAAATTATCTTCCTAGTGTATAAGACATGTGAGACTCTTGACTAGAGCATTTGGCAATTTTCTCTTTTTTTAGTGCTCATGACTCATTGTAGGATAGCATGCCTATTTCTTGAAAGATGATTGCAAAATAGGACGCCAGAAAAAAAGAAAATAAAAATAAGATCCAGGATTTATATGTTTTACTTTCCCTTTAGAGACTATGAATATAAGAAGTAATTAGCAAAAACATTGACTTTATCATTGTTTTGATTACATTTGTTTAAATATGTCTTCTTTTCATGTCTGTGCTTCTGTCATTCAGAATTGTTTTTGCAGCTATCACTTGGCCACCCATCTCTTCAAAAATGAAAATGTGTTTATACATTACATCATAATTTTTTTAAAAAATGTTTAGTTGTTGACAGACCTTATTTATTTGTATGCAGTGCTGAGAATCAAACCCAGTGCCTCACACAAGCCAGGCAAGTGCGCTACCACTGAGCCATAACCCCAGCCCCATCATAAAAATTTTAATATGAAATCTAATATTATGTATTATTATTCTGCTAAATTTCATTTTCCAAATAAAATGAAACTTGACATGATAAGCTTTCAAAACACATATTCCAATTTGCTCCTTTATAAAACATGAGTACTATTTCTAAGAAGATGTGTATCAATCTAAGTAATAGCTTTTACATATTTTGAATCATAAAATCGTGGCTTCAAATTTGGTGAATTTGACATAAAGTTTAATACAGAGATGAGTTCAAAAGTGGTAATTCTTTATAGCCAGTAGGAAGGGTTATTTCTTCCTCAGTTGGAGATTTGCCATATTAGGAGATAATGTGAAAAAGAGGTTTGTTTTAGGGGAAAGACATGCTTTCAAAGATTTTCATCACATTACTCAGCACTTAATTCAGTTATCCAAACAAATAGCCATTGATCTTATTTATCAAAGTTCTCCATAGCATCATTTTATATTGAATATGTACTTTTAACTTTTTAATTTCCTGATAGCCACTTTGGGAATCCCAGTCTCAAATTGAAGCATATTGCCAGCAAAACAGTAAACAATTACTTTTGAAGATTTTAATGACCTGAAAGTGTTTTCTGGTTTTGTTTTGTTTTTCAAAATTTTTTTTCAGAGAAGTATATCAGAGAACTCCCTGGTAGCAATGGACTTCTCAGGTCAGAAAAGCAGAGTTATAGAAAATCCCACCGAAGCTCTTTCAGTTGCAGTTGAAGAAGGACTCGCTTGGAGGGTACTCATAATTTCACTTTCTTGAAAGAATTTTTAATTTGAATTTGTTTCACCCCCAAAACTGAGATTTGTTTTCCCATTCCTTGCTCAGAAAAAAGGATGATTGTGCCTGGGCAGTCACGGTAGTCCCACTGCCTCCACACAGACCTCTGCCACAAACATGGGTATGTCTGTTCCTAGCCATGATCACTGAGCTGATGGGCAGCTTGACATGACTTTAGTGAAATGTGGTCACTAAGTGATGGGGGACATATATGTAGTGAAATTGCAGTCACTGCAAGCAAACCTTTGTATTCATTTGTTTTATTTCTTTAGCCATCCATCGGTCCCAGCCATGGTTTCACCACAAGATTTTCAGAGATGAAGCTCAGCGATTGATTATTCAGCAAGGACTTGTGGATGGGTAAGTTTGATACTTTTAGTGTTGAGTAGAATTTGGGTTTGGATTTTGGATTTGGTTTGGATTTTGCCAGTAAATAATAATCATTTATTCAGTGAACACCAAGTGTTTTTAATTTTGGCTTTTCATAACACAGAAATGACTTTGTTCTGTAAGAGTGGCTATCACTGAATTCTAGCAATATCTGTATAATACCCAGTACACAGAGTGTGCTTAGTATTTGTGTATAAATTAACAGAGAAGAGAATAGTATTCTTTGTTCTTGACTAGGAGCACTAATGTTATCCATTCTGTGCCAATTCTAGCATTTTAGATAGTAATTCATGAGAGGAAAAAAAAACTAACCTTGTTTTTGGGAATCAATGTTTTAATTTGAACAAGTAATTAATATGATTCTTTTATTTATTTTTTTTATTATTAGTTGTTCAAAACATTACAAAGCTCTTGACATATCATATTTCAAACATTTGATTCAAGCAGATTATGAACTCCCATTTTTACCCCGTATACATATTGCAGATTCACATTGGTTCCACATCCACTTTTTTACATATTCTAAAATATGATTTACATATGACATTATCCTATACATTGTAATCCTTTTTAGGTATAATGCAGGGTATGTTAAGTAGAAAATTTTTTCTGATGTTTTCAATGTTTGCTTTTATTTCTGTTTACATCCCTATTGCTTTTTCTCTAAATATTTACAGCTTAAAAATGTGAGTCTATTAAAAGAGTACTTTTTGATGATTTTTTTGTGTTATCTTTTAATGTGATACCATAGAGTACACAAGAGAAGCATAAAATATTTTATGAGAGATTTATAATCTGAAGGATTTTCTTCTCACATTACTCAGTTTCAGGTACTTTAATACTGCTAAGTTCCTTCCCAAATGCAGTACAATGAGAACATTTTATTGAGGATTGGATGAGAAATGAAACCATTGTCAGTTTAAACAACTGGAGAAAGAATCTTTTATCTTCAAAGGCTGACTTAAGATGACGACAAGGGTTTGAGGAGATTTAATACTGACATTTGTGTAAAAATGCATCTTCACATGGAAGATTATTAATAACAAGTCAGCATTTCATCAGAGTATAAATAAGAAAGGATTTTAATATACTTCTCTGCTTGGAGCGTGGTCAATTTTTGGATATAAATTTGAACAGTGATCAGAGTTTCAATCCAGTGAGGTCAGGAAAAGAGAAAAATAAGAAAGAGTGATTTAAATGTTTTAGAAGATTATAATTCCCTTTATTTATGAATTTGTAACCCGGAGAAAATAATTGTACAGAGAAATCATGCCTGTTTCTATTATTTTGGTATTCCTTTGGAAAGTTGTGAAGGTGTCAGGTGGTCCACCAGGTGGTAGTAGTGATCTGCTTGGGAGGGGGAAGAATTACTGCTTAATTTTTCCGTGAAATGCCCTTTGTCCTGTCTCCCAATGATGTAATGTCAGAGTCTCACAAATAAAGTGGATAATTTCATCAGACATCTGTGATGCCTCAGATTTGGCTGCCTCTTTGCCCAGGCACAGTGAGATTACTATTGAAGTCACCAGTGGGGACCAGTTACACAGTGTGTTTGCCAGTAATTAATACAAAACTGGCTTTTCACTGCATTGCCAGTAAATAAGAATGCATACCCGGCATCCCTTTTCTCTGAGACCGTTAGACCACGTCTTCTTTTTGTAACCTGACATTAATAGAGGCTTTTCCACTGCATTCTTCAAGGTTAAAGTGCATGTTGGGTATATATTTTTTTAACTTGAAACATTTTTACTCAAACATTTAATAAAAAATTTTAAGATGGATTTTAAGGATATAGCATTTCTTATTTTCTGCCGTGTAACAGTAGAAGCCAGAATCAAAAGAAGAGAGCAGACCAAGTATAGAAAAGGGGGTAAAAATGATTTTACTCTAAATCATTATGTCTTATACACACACACACACACACTCATCCCTTATTCGTTCTCATCCCTTATTCTTTCTGGTAGTTACATGGGAATACCCAATTTCCCAGTGGAAAAAGGACAACATGAACTGTTTATGCCAATGGAATGTTTTGCTGGGTATTGTAAACAAACAATGTCACAAATAGACTATGTACTTATCATATTAAAATTACATTAGCAATGATGACAGTTTTGTAGTATGAGATTATGTTGTAACATATCATTCACCAAGTTGAATAATCATACACACTGAATACACAGTTAAGGAGATCCCAGCTACAGCTTTTATGAGTACACATCGTGGGTTTGTTACATGCTATGTTTCTATGAAATCTGTGAGTAAATGTAGAAACATATTGAAATTCTTCCTCTCTCTTTTTAGAGTTTTCTTGGTAAGGGGTAGTCAGAGTAATCCCAAAACTTTCGTCCTGTCAATGAGTCATGAACAAAAAATAAAGTACTTTCGAATTATACCACTAAGTAATTTGTGATTTCACATTCGTATATTAGATATGATCTTAATGCATAAGCTTTTGGAAACTTTGTTTTTCTGTTGTTCCTTTTATTAAATATAATGTTAGGTTCTTGTGCTTTGACCAGAGTTAAGTTTGACAGAAATGGTTTTATGAGCCTGAATTAATATAAGAAATAGAGGAATTGTAAAAATTAAATTTATCTTTTTTCCACAAAATAAGATTTAGCAATATTGTATAGACTCCATGCCACCTATTATTAAAAGGCAACTAAAGATTCTTTTTTCTGAGTTCTAACCATTCCTCAAAAAAAACATTATTTAAAAACCCTTTTTCTTCTCTTCTCTCAAAGACATTTTTTGCTATTATTGTTGCTAGTTTTTGTTCATTTGTTTTAAATTATTTGTATAGAAACTCAGGAACTGTGAAATTGGTGAACTTTAAATAATCCTGGGAACATTTTTAAAATATCTGTGACTCTGTTTTTGGCTGGCACAACTTGCTTTGGGGTTTTTTTTGCTTCTGCTGTTGTGTGTCAGAATGTGCACATATGTACATATGTGACGTGCACATTGGAATCAGGCAGAGTAAAACAGATTCAATCTTCTTTCAGGAAGGTCTTATTTAAATTACTAATGCTTTCCTTCGAATTGCCTCTTTTTCAAATCATCCAAAGGCCATATAGAGTACCAACCCTGCTTCTTTGATTATTTGATCAGTGTCCTCAGCAAGTATGAGTGTTTAATGCTAGAAGACTTCACCACCAAACAAAAAAAGTCAACTGGCATTCCATTAGCATAATATTTTATTGCTTCAGTGTGGTGAGCCGCTTCTGCCGTTTCTGCAGACTATGTTCGCCATTACAAGATGGCGCTAGCTCCGCTGTGGTCTGTGACAAACAACTCCTTATTTGGGAGAGTTGGCGCATGGTTTTTCACCACCCTATGAGAAAGCTCCACGTGGCAGCTTCGCATTGGGGCTTGAGATGCTTTATTAAGGCTGGGAGGGGCATCCAAGAGAGAGAAAAAGAAATATCAAGGGCCTGAATAAACTGCTGAAAGAAGATTCCTGAGTTGCGTCTTCCTTGCGGGCAAGGGGTCGCGACAAGTGGTGCCGAAACCCGGGAACCAGAACTTTCAGCAGTCAGGGGTGGTACACCGGTTAGTCCCAGGTAAGTGGGATCCGCGACCAAAGCGGGGTTAATCCCAATAAGTGGGATCTGCGACCAAAGCGGGGTTAGTCCCAGGTAAGTGGGATCCGCGACCAAAGCGGGGCAGCTCCTCTGTAAAGAAAGAGAGAGCATTACATTTTATTGCAGCTGCACTGTGTACTTTCGCTTCTACTTTCGCTTTTGTTTTCTGTGTTTCTTTTGTTGTGTCATTTCGCTTTTGTTTTTTGTGCTTCTTTTGTTGTTGTGTCATGGGTGCCGCATCTTCAAGTCTGCTTCTCCTGGCCCTAGATGGCCTGTTACGTTCAAAGGGCCTGGAAGTGAAACATAGTACTTTACAGAGATTTTTACAGAAGATAGATATCGCTGCACCATGGTTTGCATTTTCGGGCAGCCTTACTGTACCTAGTTGGGATAAATTAGGCAAAGATCTTGACTTTGCTTCTGAGCAGGGCATATTAGAGGGTGGGGTGATACCCCTTTGAAAAATGGTCTGTAGTTGCCTTACAGATGACAGATGTCAGGAAGCACTTACTAAAGGACAGGAAGTTCTAGAGCAATTACATGAGGAGAAATCGGAGACGGCAAAAAGTGAGGTGCCTCAGGAGGATGGGAGTATGCGGAGCGTGAAACAGGGGAGGAAACAATTGTCTCCGGCAAGAAGTGAGGTATCTCAGAAGGATGGGAGTATGCAGAGCGTGAAACAGGGGAGGAGACAATTGTATCCAGATCTCAGTACGCTGCACACACCCCCATGTGAAAGTGGGTCAGAGGAAGAGGAGGATGAAGAGGAAGAGCTCGGGAGGCTGTCTCGTCAGCTAGAGAGTTTAGCTATAGGAGAAGGGAACAGAAATAAACAGGGGCTCAAGAAAAGCGATCCCCCAGATCCACCGCCATATGGTGGGGGTGTTTCGGGGAGAGCTTTCCATGCCCAAACATGGAGGGCTATTAACGCTGAGATGGGTCTTGCTTATCCAGTTTTTCAGGATGACAATAGGGGAAGATTCCATAAACCCTTAGATTTTAAAATTGTGAAGACCCTGGCTGAGTCTGTGCGCACTTATGGGGTGAATGCCGCCTTCACACTAACTCAGGTGGAGAGTCTGTCTAGATACTGCATGACTCCCTCTGACTGGGCTAGCCTTGTTCGGGCTTGTGTTTCCCTGGGTAAATATTTGGACTGGAGAGCATTTGTGCTAAAGGGCGCAATAGAGCAGGCCGCCCAAAACCATGCGGCGGGACACCCCCATTGGGACAAGGATATGCTTTTGGGGCAAGGTAGATTTGCAAATCAACAGACAGGATTTCCTCTTGAGGCATATGATCAAATTAACAACATTTACATTCGGGCATGGAAGTCGCTTCCAAATAGAGGAGAGGTATCTGGTAATTTGACCAAGATTCTACAAGGCCCTACAGAACCCTTTTCAGATTTTGTAGCAAGGATGGTGGATGCCGCTAAAAAGATTTTTGGGGATCCTGATAGAGCCATGCCCCTTATCAAGCAATTGGTCTTTGAGCAATACACCAAGAAATGTAAAGCGACAATCACTCCTTATAAAAATAAGGGCATAAAAACATGGATGAAAATATATAAAGAGATCGGAGGACCTTTAACTAATGCAGGTCTTGCAGCTGCTGTACTTCGGATTGCCTTTTGCAATCCTGGTGCCGGAACATGCTTCCATTGTGGTCAACCCGGTCATTTCAGACGTGAATGTCCCAAAAAAGACAATTTTACTGGACCTCCTCACGGTGGCCCTTCCAATGGCCTTCGTCAACCGGGGCTATGTCCAAAATGTAAAAAGGGAAAACATTGGACAAAAGAGTGTAGATCAGTGAGGGACATCCATGGACAGCCTATTTCAGCTGGGCCAAAAAACGGCCGAAGGGGCCCCCGACCCCAGGGCCCACAAATATATGAGGCAATGGAGAATGTCACACCCGAACCCGAGACATAGCCATCTCTGCGCCATCCCATGAGACGCGGAGAGCCACTACAGGTGCCGCGGGATTGGACCTCTGTTCCACCTCCAGACTCGTATTAACACCTAAGATGGGAGTCCAATTGGTGGAAACTAAGTTCAAAGGGCCTTTACCACCTGGCACTGTAGGTTTGCTAATTGGACATGCATCCTCTATCTTACAAGGTCTTCATGTCTTTCCCGGAGTCATTAGCCCTGATACTGTAGGGGCAGTAAAGGTTATGGTGGAGGCTCCAAGGGGCATTGTGTCTATCTCCCCAGGGGATCGGATTGCTCAATTACTAATTTTGCCTAGCTTACATAATCACTTCCCTGCTGACTCAAGGTCACGGACGGGAAGTGAGATTGGTACCACCGGAGGGAATTGTGTCTATTTGTCACTAGATATGAGCAATTGCCCCACTTTGGAATTAAGCATAGAAGGTAAATCTATTGTGGGATTGCTGGATACAGGACCAGACCGTAGTATCATAGCCCTTAAGGACTGGTCTAAGGGATGGCCAGTGCAGACTTCTGATCAATCCCTGAGAGGACTTGGATATGCCCAAGCCCCTCAAATCAGCTGTAGACATCTATCTTAAAAAGACCCAGAAGGACACAATGACACCTTTCAGCCTTATGTACTTGATTTACCTATCTCTTTATGGGGCCGTGATCTGATGAAAGACATGGGGTTCACTCTTAGTAATGACTATTCCCCAATGTCTCAACAAATTATGCAAAATATGGGGTATAGGCCAGGTCTATGACTAGGAAAACACCTACAGGGGCGCAGGCATCCTATGCAAGGTCATCAAAAGCTTAACAGATTTGGTCTGGGTTTTTCCTAGGGGCCACTGGGGCTCAAATACCCATAACATGGCTCACCGAGGAGCCTGTTTGGGTGCCTCAGTGGCCTCTTCCCTCGGTTAAATTGGCAGCAGCCCATGATCTAGTCAAAGAACAACTTGACTTGGGTCACATCCAACCTTCTACTTCTCCATAAAATACTCCCATATTTGTTATTAAGAAAAAATCAGGAAAGTGGCGCCTACTGCATGATCTACGAGCAGTTAATGCTCAAATGCAACTTATGGGGCCCATTCAAAGAGGGCTGCCTCTGCTCTCCTCTGTTCCTCAGGGCTGGCATATTATTGCTATTGACATTAAAGACTGTTTCTTTTCTATTCCTTTGCATCCTAAAGACTCACAGCGTTTTGCCTTCACCGTTCCCTCGTGTAACCACGAGGAACCAGATCAAAGGTTTGAATGGGTAATGTTGCCGCAGGGAATGGCTAATAGTCCCATGATGTGCTAGATGTATGTGGGGAAGGCACTCGCACCTCTCAGACATAAGTATTCCTCCATCAAGATCATTCATTATATGGATGATGTGTTATTGGCCGCTAAGTTAGAGCAGACAGTTAATGAGGCCTATAAAGAATTAGTAAAGCTGTTAGCTCAATATGGGTTACATATCGCACCTGAAAAGGTTCAAACGGGGAATTCTATTGAGTATTTGGGAGCGATAATTGGGTATGACAAGTTAAAACCTCAAAAAATCACCATAAGAACTCAGGATCTCCAAACTCTAAATGATTTTCAAAAACTGCTGGGAGATATTAATTGGATAAGGGGATATTTACATATTCCTAATGGTGTGCTCCAGCCTTTGTATGCTACCCTTAAGGGTGATCCAGATCTTGCTTCTCCTCGTAGCCTCACCAAAGAGGCTAGAGCGTCCCTTATAACAGTAGAAGAAGCTATACAACATGCTACTCTATACAGGCTCCATAGTGATAAACCTTTCCAGTTATGTGTGCTTGCCACTATGCGGCAGCCTACTGGAGTACTGTGGCAAGATGGGCCTTTACTATGGATCCACCCACATGTATCCCCAGGAAAATCCTTAAAATACTATCCTGATGCTGTTGCAGCGTTAGCACTTAAAGGGATTCAACAAAACATTCAATTTTTCGGACAATCACCTTCTTCTCTTATTATACCCTATACTAAAGCTCAACTTAATGTTTTGTGTGCTACTCTAGACAACTGGGCTATTCTATGTTGCTCGTTTCAAGGGGATATTGATAATCATTACCCTTCCCATCCATTACTCCATTTTGTTAAAGAACATCCCATCATTTTCCCTAAGGTAACTTCACCCAATCCAATTCCGGGGGCTATTAATATTTTTACTAATGGTTCCAAGTCTGGAATGAGAGCTTATGTAATTAATGATTCTCCCCCTGTTCAACATCAATTTGCTCCTGGAAATCCACAATGGGTGGAACTGCAAATTGTTATTGAGGTTTTTAAACAGTGTTCTTTTCCTTTTAATCTTATTTCGGACTCCATCTATGTGGTACAAGCACTAAAAGTCCTAGAGGCCGTGGGAGCTATTAGTAATGCCCATAATGTATCTGCTTACTTTAATCAGCTTCAACAGCTTATCTGTAGCCGCACTGCTCCTTTTTATCCAATGCACATCCGGGCTCACACCTCTCTTCCTGGTCCGTTATCACAGGGTAATGCCTGCGCGGACTCAGCCACTAGAGGTCAATTGATATGCTTGGCTTCCTCCTTAGAGGGGGCTAAATTATTTCACCAGAATTTCCATGTTAATGCTTTAACGCTGTGCAGGCGTTTTTCCATTTCAAGAACGGATGCTCGTCAGAAAGTATTACAATGTCCCCATTGTGTAACATTTCCTCATCCCCCTAATTATGGAGTGAACCCACGGGGATTGAAGCCATTGGTTGTCTGGCAAATGGATGTGACACACATACCTGACTTTGGTAACCTCAAGTATGTGCATGTTTCTGTTGATATGTGCTCTGGAGTTATTCATGCTTCTGCTTTATCGGGAGAAAAGGCACATAATGTTATTACTCATTGCCTAGAAGCATGGGCAGCATGGGGTGCTCCTGCATCCCTTAAGACTGATAATGGACCTGCTTATACTGACAAACAATTTACATCCTTTTGTTCTACCATGGAAGTGCAACTTACTCATGGTCTCCCTTACAATCCTCAAGGACAAGGCATTATTGAGCGTGCTCATCGCACCTTAAAACAAACTTTACAAAAACAAAAAGGGGGAATAGGAGCTGAACACACTCCTAAAGAACGCCTGTCCTTAGCTCTCTTTACCATTAATTTTTTGAATTTGGATATTCATGGTCGCTCTGTGGCTGATAGACATGTGTCCCCTCAGCCCTCTGTGATTGGCTATGTTAAGTGGAAGGATGTTCTTACGGGCCAATGGAACGGCCCCGACCCCGTGCTGACATGGGTGCGAGGATCTGTATGTGTTTTTCCCCAGGATCGCTCGGAACCGTTGTGGGTCCCTGAACGCCTGACAAGAAGAGTCTTGACATCAACCGACCAGCAACAAGAGATACCACAGCAATCCCGTGATGAGGATCTTCACTCTGCTACATGCTCTGGTTCTGATGCTAATGCCGATGGCACAGACGACACCAATGCAGTGGTGGGCAATGGCACGGGCTTGGCCAATGCCGATGCCGGTTCATGGTAATTCTAGTGTCCTCCCCACTCTTTTCTCTACCTCATGTGAGATGTCTGCTCCCTGTGCCTCTCCTAGAGGGGACATGGAGAGCATTTTTAATCAATCTCAAGTTAATCTCACAGGAGTTTTTTGTTTCAGCCTTGGAAACGCTAATTGCATCAGCCTTAAGACCAAAAATTTGACTAACTGGGAGGACCCATTGTGGTCCAGTCAGGTCTCAGGGAGCATTATCAGTGCCGTATTGAGCCAAGTAGTTTCGGGGAAGCAATCAGGCTCAGGGACCCCCGCAAATAGCTCTGCTTTAAACATAACTACCTTGGCTATTATCTCCAAGGTACTAATCCCAGTGCCTCCTTCTTCTAATAGTACTTACAATGCCACTCATTTCAAGGCCTCCCCTTACTGTACCCCTAATCTTGGTTTCCCCCCAACATTTACGCGTTGTCAGGGTCATTCTTGGGAGAAACATCAAGTTGCTAAAGGTTTCTCCCTTTTCCCCTCTCTTAAGAGGCATGTTTATAACTTTAACAACAGTGCCAACTCCTCTACAGGAGTAGGTTGGTCCTGGTTTCAATGGCTGATTTCCAATGAGAAGGGGGCTTCAGCCAATATTTCTGCATTGGCTCAATTGCTGGGAGCCAAAAGCTGGCTGGCTAATGTTTCTGGCACTGTTAGGGAGAATAAACGAGGTAATAGACTTACATCTGTTTCGTTCAACTCTCTGCTATATAATGCCACATTGCCCCCTGCAATGGTCTGTGTCCAATCCCCATTCTTGCTCCTTTTGGCTAATGACACCTCGTCGGGGATGCTGGATTGTTCTAATGTTACCTGTCTCTTATCTGAGTGTTGGAATGGTTCTTGGACTGTAGCAGTGGTTATGAAAATTCCAACTTTTGTCCCAATCCCAGTCATTGCGGACCCAGATAAATTCCCCATTGTTGAGCTACTTAGAGTCCGCAGGGATTTTGGAATTACGGCAGCTATAGTGACAGCTGTGGTAGTGTCTGCTGCTGCAGCGGTTACGGCCAAAATGGCCATGGCCAGTCAAGTACAAACTGCTGCCACCATTAATCAAGTTGTTCAACAAACTTCCACCATACTTGAATCCCAAAATACAATTAATCAACATATTTTGTCAGGGATTTTAGCTGCCAACCAAAGAATAGATTTACTCCAAGCTCAGGTAGAAGAATTGGCTGACTTGGTGCTTTTGGGTTGTGTTGACCAACGTGCACATTTATGCATAACCTCTGTCAGATTTAATGATTCCAGGAATGCCTCCCGCATCATTGGCAAATATTTGGCCAGAACCTGGTCCATGGAAGCAGAAAACTTGATCCAGTCTCAACTAACTCAGATTGCTGTTCTGAATAGCACCCGTGTCGAACCAGTGACTTTGGGTCAATTCACCGATTGGATATCTTCTGCTTTTTCCTTCTTCAAAGAGTGGGTGGGGGTAAGCATTTTTGGTGCAATGTGTTGCTTCGGTATATTCCTCTGTTTGTGGTTTCTCTGTCGCCTTAAGGCCCGCAGTGCTCACGATAAGGCTATGATCATACAAGCTCTTGCAGCTTTAGAAAATGGCAACTCACCTCAAGTCTGGCTTGCACATCTTAAACAGTAAATCTTTGACATGGTCGTTACACCCCAAGTTATTATAACATTGCACTGGGATCGACATGACTTTCCTTGTTATTCTCTTAGTGTTGGAAAGCCCTTGCACTCTGCCGGTCTTACTGCCATTGCACGCAGATGGGTTTCCACACTAGTGCTTTTCTATCGCCTTACAGTCCGTGCCTTTCTTTCAGGGTGCTGTCAACTTGTTTGTCGTTATAAACAGCCACAGTTCAGCCTCAGCTATCCCCCTTCGTCCACCATCGTCACGATACAGGATGCGAGGCAAGGCACTGCACTTGAGTGATCCTTGACGGGGACCTCAAGGAGAGCATGTCCTATTGCATGCGGGTTAGACGCATCCACGCCCCGCCCCACGAAAAAAGGCGTCGGCTGATATGGCCTCAGATCTGGGGAAGGGCCCTCCTTAGGACTGAGCCATACTATGCAGCCACTTCTGCACAGTGGGATAGGACCTCTACTCTCGCCTGTATTGTTTTAAGAAAACAGAAAGGGGGAACTGTGGTGAGCTGCTTCTGCCGTTTCTGCAGACTATGGTCGCCATTACAAGATGGCGCTAGCTCGGCTGTGGTCTGTGACAACTCCTTATTTGGGAGAGTTGGCACATGGTTTTTCACCACCCTATGAGAAAGCTCCACGTGGCAGCTTCGCATTGGGGCTTGAGATGCTTTATTAAGGCTGGGAGGGGCATCCAAGAGAGAGAAGAAGAAATATCAAGGGCCTGAATAAACTGCTGAAAGAAGATTCCTGAGTTGCGTCTTCCTTGCGGGCAAGGGGTCGCGACACTTCAGAATGAATTTGCTAATAAAAATTATATGAATAGTCATTTTCTAATATACTGAGGCATTAAGTAGACAATGTTTAGAAATAGAAATCAATTTCTGTACACGGAAGCATTAAAATCTCCTGTCTACTTTTACACTGAATAGTACAGATTTCTCTCTGTTCATTGACTCAAAGTTGTTAAACTATCCTAACTAAACAGAACTCTGGGAGAATTAGATGCAGAGAAAGTGGAGGCATGTTTCTTATCCAAGGATCATATGATACTTCTTTTAAATGTAAGTGAAATTAAAGAAGTTATTATAACATTGCCATGCTGTTCTCTGCATAGTCCTTAGTTTAATAAACTTGTCAATTTTGGTATGAAGACATAGCTTGCAGTGGAACAACCATCATCCTTCTGGATTCTTTACCCTCTTTACCAGCTTGTTGCTTTTCCTATTGCAGGTGGAAGATGATGGTGAAGTGTTCCACATGCTAGATGATGGCCACACTAGATTTATGGATCTAAT